ATATATATATAAATTATTTTAAGCTAGTTCATTTAGTTCAACATGATGTACTAAAATAATTAAAACTAAACTTGAAATAAAAATAAATAAAATCTATAAAGACATTTAAAAACATATATATATATAATAATTACTATAACGGAATTACTATAACTTTAACTAAAATTAAAAAATAAAACCAGAAAATCAAAAAATATAAATTAATTCTAAATATTAATAAAAATTATTATGGTATCTTGATACTAAACACTATTTAAATATTTTATTACATTTAATTAAGCTTTTTTTTTTCCTTTGCTGTGATATCAGGATCACTTTAGAAAAATCTGAATCATTTTACTTGCTTGAAAAACATGCTCACCTACACAGGTGTTTTCATGGTAGTCTAAAACATCAAGGTATTCTGAGTAGTGTTTATACAGTATGTTGCTATGTGGTTGCTAGGGTGTTTTGGGTGGTTACTAGGGAATTTCAAGGTGGTGCTTGCTGGTTCATTTGAAAATGGCCCACCAATATTCTGGTCCCTAGAGACAATATGTCTCATGTTTTGATGCCCATTTTATCATCTTTCAGGTTGATTGAACAGAATTCAATGCAAACTATACAATTAATTAGGCATAAATGAGATATTAACCCGGCTTGGGTGAAAACCGTGTACAATGGTTTTACTTATTTAATGTAATTAACAGTTGCAGGTTTTCTTCTTTTGACAGTACAGTGTTTTGATAGTCTCCTATTAATTTCTTAACTATACACAAGAGTGAGTTTCTGTCATTTAAATGTGACCTTGTGCCCAGACTGTCTAAATCGCCAAGAGTGGGAGAGAATTACTGACTCTGGCGAAGTCCTTTCTGCCACGCAACCAATTAACTCCAGTCAAATAAAGTTCATTACCGTTACTAAGGAAATGTTCAGAATTAAATTACTGATATTTTAGGGGGAGGACTCTTTAGATGAACAGTAATTGTAACCCTGTGGCTGTTTGTTGACTTTTTTAGTATTAACATTGGTGCTCATAAAGACAAAAATCCTATCAAGTTAATGGCCTTGGTCCCCCCCGACTGGCTATGAATTCGTAAAATGGTTAATAATAATAATTAACTATAAATTCACATTCACACTCCATTAAAATGCAGCACACAGGCAAACATTAGTAATGTAACATAAATCATAAATGATTCATACTGTTTGTTGCAAGTGAATCATGAGTGTTTTTCTGAATAAAAGCCACACATAATTTAATAAACTGACCTTGAAAGACTGTTTTTAAAGACAAACACCCTCTTAAGCCATTTACTGTCACCTTGGCAATGTCACCACCCCTTTGTCATGGTGCAGTTCTTCGCTTTGTGTGAAAAAACTCGCTTAGGTGGAGTTTCATATGTTGTTTTCAGGAAGGCTGAGAGATCTGCTCTGTTGTACTTTTAGAATGATTCTCACAAAACTTGTCAGGGTTTTATTTCACCCCTAAATCTTAAAGAAAACTGATAATAAATTGCTTGGTCACCAGGAGCGGCGTTGGCGTATGGCAGAGTATGGCAGTTGCCATACCCTAGCATTCAGAGTTCAGATAAAACATCACGATGCTCGTTAAAATATTTGAAATATTTTTAGGAGAACAGACCTGAACATAGGTCGAGGTTCCCAATAGTGACAATTCATGGTAGCGTGTCTGTCACGATGAACGCTGATGTTATGATAACGGCGAATTCTCTGATTGGATCCCGCTTTAGGATTATGGTTAGAGTAGTTTTTACCTGTGTTTTGGTCATTAAAATGTTTCTTTATTATTATTATTTTAACAACGTCGAAATCATAATGGCAGATTTGACTAAATCATATAAATGTATGAGTGTGCGCAGTCTGAGTTTTTTGCATCAATTATCACGCGTATTTTTGATTAGCTCCCACCTCGCCGTTACCCACTTATGCAATAAAAACTGCACAGACCATGTTTTTATATTTAATGTTGTTCACTGTGAATTTTATTTAATAGTGCATCATGCACTTTGTTTATATATAATGTGGGTTAATCGTTCAGGAATGTTGTCGTTGTATGTATGGCCACAGGGAATTATGCCATACCCTTTAGGTTTTCTTAAAACGCCACCACTGTTGGTCCCACTTTATTTTAAGGTCAAATTCTCGCTATTAACAAACCATTAACTATGACTTTTGCCTCGATAAACTCCTAATTTATGAATAGTTAGTTAGGTAGTTGTTAAATTTATTTAATAATGTATTGGTTAAATAATGTATTGGTTAGGATTAGGGATGTAGTGGATTATGTGCTTTATAAATACAAATAAACAGCCAATATGTTAATAATAGGCATGCTAATAAGCAACAAGTTAATAGTGAGAATTGGTCCCTATATATAAAGGGCCCTATCATACATGTGGCGCAATGCGGCGCCAGGCGCGACGCAAGTGTTGTTTGCTAGTTTCAGCCCGACGTAGTAATCATTTTCACGTCCTGCGCCACGTTGTTTAAATAGCAAATGCATTTGCACCCATTTGTGTGCTCATGGGCGTGCTGGTCTGGAAACAAGGTGTGTTTAGGCGCTTTGTTGGCATGTTGCTATTTTGAGGCAAATGAAATAGACTGCACATTGACCAACTAAAACCTGGTCTAAAGTCAATAGCGCAGTATTTTTTTTGTTATTTAAAGAGCGCGTTAGTATAGGCGGGTTCACAACGCACATACAATCTGCTTATTACACACACAGGTACGCACAGCAGCACGCAAACATGCCAAATATTAAAAATGAAAGGATTACATGTAAAAGATTATTATTGTGTAGGCTACATAAATATAAAAATGCCTACATGTCATAATGGATAGTCATTGCATGTATCAGAATTAGGCTACCTATTTGCTCGCGCATGAGCAGGTCCGTTTAATCTCTGGAGATGCGTTCGGTGTTCGCGCTTGCAAATTCCGCTGTGTAAATAGCAAATCCGCTATGGCACGAGTGCAACTGGCTCTTAAAGGGAATGGGAGATGAGACTTGGCGTATGGCAGAGTATGGCAGTTGCCATACCCTAGCATTCAGAGTTCAGATAAAACATCACGATGCTCGTTAAAATATTTGAAATATTTTTAGGAGAACAGACCTGAACATAGGTCGAGGTTCCCAATAGTGACAATTCATGGTAGCGTGTCTGTCACGATGAACGCTGATGTTATGATAACGGCGAATTCTCTGATTGGATCCCGCTTTAGGATTATGGTTAGAGTAGTTTTTACCTGTGTTTTGGTCATTAAAATGTTTCTTTATTATTATTATTTTAACAACGTCGAAATCATAATGGCAGATTTGACTAAATCATATAAATGTATGAGTGTGCGCAGTCTGAGTTTTTTGCATCAATTATCACGCGTATTTTTGATTAGCTCCCACCTCGCCGTTACCCACTTATGCAATAAAAACTGCACAGACCATGTTTTTATATTTAATGTTGTTCACTGTGAATTTTATTTAATAGTGCATCATGCACTTTGTTTATATATAATGTGGGTTAATCGTTCAGGAATGTTGTCGTTGTATGTATGGCCACAGGGAATTATGCCATACCCTTTAGGTTTTCTTAAAACGCCACCACTGTTGGTCCCACTTTATTTTAAGGTCAAATTCTCGCTATTAACAAACCATTAACTATGACTTTTGCCTCGATAAACTCCTAATTTATGAATAGTTAGTTAGGTAGTTGTTAAATTTATTTAATAATGTATTGGTTAAATAATGTATTGGTTAGGATTAGGGATGTAGTGGATTATGTGCTTTATAAATACAAATAAACAGCCAATATGTTAATAATAGGCATGCTAATAAGCAACAAGTTAATAGTGAGAATTGGTCCCTATATATAAAGGGCCCTATCATACATGTGGCGCAATGCGGCGCCAGGCGCGACGCAAGTGTTGTTTGCTAGTTTCAGCCCGACGTAGTAATCATTTTCACGTCCTGCGCCACGTTGTTTAAATAGCAAATGCATTTGCACCTATTTGTGTGCTCATGGGCGTGCTGGTCTGGAAACAAGGTGTGTTTAGGCGCTTTGTTGGCATGTTGCTATTTTGAGGCAAATGAAATAGACTGCACATTGACCAACTAAAACCTGGTCTAAAGTCAATAGCGCAGTATTTTTTTTGTTATTTAAAGAGCGCGTTAGTATAGGCGGGGTCACAACGCACATACAATCTGCTTATTACACACACAGGTACGCACAGCAGCACGCAAACATGCCAAATATTAAAAATGAAAGGATTACATGTAAAAGATTATTATTGTGTAGGCTACATAAATATAAAAATGCCTACATGTCATAATGGATAGTCATTGCATGTATCAGAATTAGGCTACCTATTTGCTCGCGCATGAGCAGGTCCGTTTAATCTCTGGAGATGCGTTCGGTGTTCGCGCTTGCAAATTCCGCTGTGTAAATAGCAAATCCGCTATGGCACGAGTGCAACTGGCTCTTAAAGGGAATGGGAGATGAGACTCTGATTGGTTTATTGCACATTATGCTCAAAAACACACCCATTACTTCATTAAGAGAATAGGGACAACCCTTTTAGACCATGCGCCGGGTGCACCGACAGTTTTTCCCATCGTTAAACTAGCAAAAGTGGATTCGGACACACCCTAAGTGCACCTGCGCCGTGCGCCTTAGACCATGCGCTTAGATCGTTAAAATAGGGCCCAAAGTGTTACCAGTTGATTTTGCATAAAGAAGATTATGCCAATTTTTATTTATACTTGTCTTGTGACATTGTTATAATGTCAGTTAAGCATATTTTGCACACAAATCCTCATTACTATAATGCAGGAAAAATTTGAAGTTGTGGCCTAATGGTTAGAGAGTCGGACTCGTAACCCAAAGGTTGTGGGTTCGAGTCTCGTACCGGCAGGGATTGTAGATGGGGGGGGTGAATGTACAGCCCTCTCTCCCACCTTCAATACCACGACTGAGGTGCCCTTGAGCAAGGCACCGAACCCCCAACTGCTCCCCGGAAGCCGCAGCAAAAAATGGCTGCCCACTGCTTCGGGTGTGTGTTCACGGTGTGTGTGTTCACTGCTGTGTGTGTGCACTTTGGATGGGATAAATGCAGAGCACTAATTCAGAGTATGGGTCACCATACTTGGCCATATGTCACGTCACTTTCACTTTTTTTTCACTAAAAATAATGTATTACACTAATAATAATCTAATGAGAATCATCAAGAATAATAATTATTATGATGAAAATGACAACAAAACACCAAATTATGATAGATAGATAGATAGATAGATAGATAGATAGATTCACACACCTGCATTGCCTGGAACACTGAGTAACGTCCCAATGGATATGAGAATAGGATACGTGAGTACCACTCCAACATTGACCAGGATGTTAAATACTACGAGAGGGAGAGAGGGAGGGAGGGAACGAAGTAAAAAAAACAAAACAGGAACTTTATGTTATGGTTTGGCCATATAGCATCTTTTTTTCATTCAATCCTCTCTAAGTGGCCAAATACACAGAGAACTTCACATGATTTGGACGAGTGACAATAGTTAATGGATATCATATTATCCTTAAAACACCCTAGAGATACAGAGCTCCACTTCAGCTCAAATATACAGTAAATATAAGTGGATCTGTTACTATTATCCTCTACATAGACTGATGCAGCACATATTGGATATCTAAGAAATGCTACTTCGAGGTGTAAACTGATGATTCTAACCTGATTTCTCTCACTTACTAAGCACTTAAAGGACTCTTGGAAGTGTACTTAAGGGTTGTATTTGATCCACTACAACACTAACACACATCTGAACCAGCAGTGATCAAGTGGTAAACTGTCAGCAGGATTTAAAGCCAGTACTTGTTTACAAACTGAAGGCTTTAATTATTTATTTTTTTCCCCAGCTGGTTAGCATTTGTCATTTAGTACTGTAGATGGTGCAACATTACGTTGCCAAAAACATATTTTTCTACAGTTTTTAAACAACTAACATATAGACTATTGTTCAAAAATTATTTTCTTTATTTGATCAAAGATACAGTATAATTATAATATTGTGATCTATTCTTACATTAGTTATTAAAAATACATTTTATTATTTTAATAATAATATATTCCTGTGATGGCAAAGATCATGTAAAGCTATTACTCAAGTCTTCACTCACATGATCCTTCAGAAATCATTCTAATATGCTGATCTGCTGAAATATTTATTATTATTATTATCATTCTTGAAAACAATCATGCATTCTTGAAAACAATCGTATTTTTCCTATAAAACATGTTTTTTAAGGATGCTTTGATCAATATATAGTTAAAAAGAACCAGATTTATTTTTAATTAAAAAAGCCTGAAACGTTGTCTTTCATGCCACTTTCGATCAATTCAATGCATCCTTTCTGAATAAAAGTATTACATTCTTTTAAAAAATCCTACTGACCCCATAAACTTTTGAACAGTAGTGTAAATTGCTAATATTTCATTATGTTTACCAGTGCCTGAAACATAAAAACCAGAGATATTTCATTAGATTATTGTAGATATGGTGGATGGCAAATGTTGCTAAGTTTGGTCAGTAATGTTTTTAAAGTAAGGCTGAAGAATCAGTTTCCATAATTTCATGTTACCTAGCCAAAGGCCGGCCACCCCGCAGAGGTAACCCCAGGGCAAAGAGGAGAGGGAACCCCAGTGCTCCACTCTGGTGAAATACAGGATGAGGGGAACACAGGAGATGAAGATGAGATTGAAAAAGCCCATTGTGGAGAAGAAATGAGCAGCCTCGCCCAGATTGGCACTGCCGAGGAACATCTTAAACAGCACCTGAGTAGTATAAATAAAGCATATCAAAACGAAAGGAGTCTTAATGGTCATCAAGGATCTTCTGGTAATCGTTCTTTTCAGCTGCACTCACCTTGTAGAGAGCAGAAGTGGAGGCGGAGCCGACTGCTAAGGCCACACCCATAAAGGAATCCCCATGGAAACCATCAGCATATGCCATCATCACAATGCCTGTGATAGCCATAATGGCAGCCACAATCTAAGAGGAAAGATCATAAAGACATTATAATTCAATAAAGCCTTTAAAAATGATTGAAGTTTATACCACAATAAATATCAGTGCACATCAGGGAATGATTTAGATTTTCAATTGCCTGCTTTCATTTTTGAAGTGGATAGCTAAAAATAAAAACAAGTTTTCTGGGAGTAATAAGCAGATACTAAAGAAGTTATGAGTCCAGATCTGAGACATCAAGTGCAATGACAGTCAAGAATTCTGATGCAAGCATACACTCTAAAAAATGCTGGGTTGTTTCAACCCAATGTTGGGTCAAATATGGACTAACCCAACTGTTGGGTTAAA